TAAAAAACCGTCCATTATTATATGCTGCTCGAAACCAAAGTAGGTAAATATAAATTAAAAAAACTAATAAATAATTGAAATTTTCTTTCAACTCCTCCCCCCTACTCAATTATTTTAAAATCTCCCTTTCGATAATTGGCAACCCTACTCTTACGTCAACTATTTCGAAACTTCTCTACAATTTTCTACTTTCCATTTTCATGCCTTTGTGGGATGAATCTCAATAATTCCTTCTAAGTAGACTAAGAGAAATATATGCCAAATATAAATTTAAAGTTATACTTCATTTACTTTCTCTAGCGATGTTCCCCTTCCAATGTCTTAGATGCGTGCTGGCAAAATCGTAGATAGAGAGAAAAAAGCTCATTATACTCTCGACTCTTGTTCATTAAACATACTTTTTCATACAGTACCTGCCAAAAGTTTTGTTCCATCACGAACAGTAGTGCTAGTCGAAAACAAGCGTTAAAGTCTTTAATATGTCTTCAAATATAAAAAACATCTCGTTGATATTTTCAGTAGTAAATGGTACGAATCACAGCACATTTGAGCAATGCAATTGTAGTGGATAAAATGGTCAATTTTTGCGTGCAGTACTGTACGGATTATACGCTGCTCACCGGTTAAGAGTTTGCCCGAGAGTTGTCTCCTTCCTTTTCTGGCCTACTGCAGTTCTTTTCTACTTTGCGCCGAAGAAACTGAAGGTCACATCGCTACGAAAGTAAACGAAGTATAGCATGCTTAATCAGCAACCTCTGATTCGTTTATGACACTACCATAATGGCCGAGAGCCCAGTTCACAGAGTTGTCTCTCAAGGTGTGAAGAATTAGGACTCACTATTAATACTGAAAAAAAAAACAAATTCATAGGTACATGTAAAAATTCAAACATTAACCCTCTTCTCACACTGGGTGGAAAACAAACAAAAAGGGTTGCAAAATAGAAATATCTCAGTGCAGTCGTAAATGATCAAGTGAATTCAGACGACGAAGAAGTCAATATCAGAATAGAAGTGGCTCGAAAGGCATTTGTCAGGTACTTTACAATATTTTCAAACAGAAATCCAAACCTCCACATCAGACTAAGGTTTGTGGAGTCATTTGGGATGAGGCTGTATAGACGTATCCTAAAGATATCCTGGATGAATAGAATCACCACTGACGCAAAAGAAAACCGATAACAATTATTAAGATAAGAAAGATGTCTTACATGGGACACATTTTATATAACGGCAAATACTTACTGCTACAATGCAGGGTAGAATAGAGGGGAAGAAAAGTAACAGCAGGAAGAAAAAAAAATCCTGGCTCAGAAACATAAGGGAATCTCAGCTTGTTTCATGCGGCAAAAGACAAAAACGCGTTTAGATATGTGGTTACCAACCTTTAATGAAAAGGCGGAATTAAAAGAAAAAGATGCATTATAATTATGTAGTTTGCCTGTATATAAGCACGTATGTATTGTCATATGAGCTAATTCGCGTACCCCATTAATGTTTGTTAAGTTAGCACATCCACATCACAAAATGCATACTAACCATTTAGTGTTACAGTTTAGGTTTTAGTGTTTCATTTCCCTTATACTTATGAAAATTAGAGTTGTTCTGGGGCAACTCCAATGTAACACACCCACTCAAAGACCCCTTAATAAACTATTTTACTTCTATAAGTAAGTAAGCCATAATTTAGTACTTTTTAAGTGCTTCTCGAAGAACTGTTGCTTACATGGAAGCCTGCATCTAATATTTTGTGAAGTTACTTTAACCTCTCCCTACAGTTTGTGTGATACCTCGGCGTTCGCTCACAACTAACCCTTATCTAGGTGCATGTGACCTGAGTAGATTTTTGAGGAGGTGCAGGTAAGGGTAGCCCACTACCTACCCCTTGTAGGCCCCATGATGTTGCCCCCTAGGACAAGAAAAGGGCATATAACGCAGTATTTGCGCATCCTCAGGAATGCCGCAGGTGGACCCCGCGGGGAAAAATTATTGCTACCCCATTAAAAATTTTTGGGAAAATGAAGTTTATTATTAATGAAAAAAATACAAAATTGAACGACAAATATATCTTACCAATGAGAAACTGCTCACTTTTGCATATCTAGCAACGGTATAACACATACCTATTATTTCTAAATACTTAGCATCGCATGGATACGTATAAAGGGATTTTTTTTTCGTAGTAGTTTTCCACAAATTTTAATACAATTTATATCTCCATTTGGAGGAAGATATACACATTTCACTTATTTGTAAAAGTAAGATTGTGCTATTGGGCTTTTTTGTAGTCAAAAATACTTTAAATTGCAATCGTTTTACTGTTGTTCGACTTGATGCGTCTGGTTTCAGTTTGTATATCTTATCTTATAATAACAATATCAGGAAGTACACTTGTTGGTTCGTTGTAAATGTTAAGGATTTCATCGAAATGACGATATAAGATAAAGGGATTGTTACCATTTTTTATAATTTTTTTCATTTTCTGAGCGTATTTTCAAACGGATTTTCCTCATCGAACCCCTACCATCATCATAAGCTCGTCAGTCCTAAGACTGGTTGGACACGCACCTTCACTCTTTCCTATTCTGAGCTTAATCTTCGCATTTCCATATCCTTAACTATTTGCGAACAGTAATCTAATCTGGGTCTACCTCTACCCCTGCTAACTTCCATTTCTGCTTCTAATATGCCTCTGACTAGACCAGAAGGTGTCCTACTAACCTATCTCGCCTACTTCTTATTGACATACATAGAGTCCTCTATTCTCCTATTCTTTCTAATACCTTTCATAAGGTAGATTTAATTGTAAATTTATAAATGTGTTAGGTTTGCCCCTCAATACCCATATGAACACCCCATAAGGCAATCCTCATTTTAGTATCACCACTTTTTTCGTAAGGAATCTACATGGAAATTCCTATATCGGCATTAGCCACATGAGGCCCGCACACTAGATAGGGCATGCCCCTTATAAATTCTATTTGGGAGAGAATGGAGCACTAAAATTTTAATTACAAAATCACTAATTTCTCGATTTCGAGTTACGAGTGTGCTAACTTTACAGGATATTGTAAACTTTTTTGTAGATAATGGGAAAGCTAAGTATGTAAAATTAAACAGGAATTCTTAAACATCATATTGTTTATTACTAATTAAAAATTTCTTTCAAAACTATCTTTGCCAATAACAGTAAAGTTAAATAGCAGATCTATGATATTAGGAATTTGCAGCAGCTTATTTTAGAATCTGAAAGAAGTAGGTCGGAAATTATATTGGAAACATTTGGGGTTCAGTTCCACCATTCGGTTAAACTTTTATCAGATCTGCAAAAACTTTTACGATAGTTTTTATCTCCCAGTTCGAAAACAGTCACTGACAATAACGCATTGTACGTTTCACGAAACCATGGAAGACCTAACAACGATTATTTTTATGGCATGCAATATGCTAACTGCAATTTACTTCTATAGCAATATTTTACAAAATAAATAGAGGATATGGATAACGTTTTTAGTGTACATGGCGAACATAAAACAGAAAACTATTTATAATTTGCTTCATAGTTTAATTTTAATTTAATGTGCAGTAAACTTCGATAAAAAGAGTCGTTTACGTACTCGTTTCTTTGCTGACTTGAAAATGTTTGCTTTTGATAAGACGGAAAATTTAAACATGCATCAATTGTAATGTATAGAAAATCATTAAAGTGCATTAAAAATAATACGTATTTGATTTAGTTTGCCTACCCGAGATAAAAATGTTCAGATTCTCAGTCTCTGAAAGCGTGTCTCATCGAGTCTCTCTGGTGTCGTTGAGAGAGACTGTCAAAAAAACTGTTTAGCGCCTCAGAAGGGGAGACTCGAGTCGCTCATAAAAAGATTCTCATTTCGTATCCAGTCTCTGGACGAGAGACTCCAGTCTCTGGGCGAGAGACTCCAATCTCTGAACGAGAGACTCCAATCTCTGAACGAGAGACTCGAATCTCTCAATAAGTAGTGTCTTGATAGCCATTTAAAATTTTCAAAGTTTCACATGTTTCAGAGATTCCAGTCTTTCTACGAGAGACTCGAGTCTCTCAATTTTTCAGTTTTATTCATTCAGTCTCTCTGTGAGAGACTCGAATCTCTGAATTAACAATTTTATCATTCGAGTCTCTCATACAGAGACCGTGAGAGATCCATAAAAACACCTAGGCAATAACTCAGAGACTGTGAAAGACTGTGAGAAACGCTCTCAGAGACGCTGAAGGACTCTGAGAGACTGGAGAGAAAGACTGAAAATTTTTGTCTAGGGTAGTTATCAATCATTCAAAGATTATTTGTAGTACGTGCTAATGCAAGAAAATTAAGAAGTCGTAGTTATAGTTTTTGGAACCAAATTACAAGAAATTTTAAAATCATTAAGTTTTCAAAATTCGCTGTCTAATCGGACTTTAAAACCAAACCGCTAACTTCCCAAAAACTCGATTCTATAGAGTGGATATAAATTACTATAGAAAAATTTTGCTGTTTCCATTAGCGGAGTCGAACAAGTAGGTATTATTTTGATCTTTTCATAAAGTTCTCGGTATCAAGACCCTCGGGGCTTTTACTTTCATCCAAGATAAGTTTGAAGTTGTAATTTTTTTGTTTATTCGGATAATATCTATATACTTCTTGTTACTGACTACTCACACCTTTAATAGAATATAACTTGATAATATTAGACTAAAGGACACATCAATCTCCTAAAAGTTTTTTTTAACATTAAAAATGGTATACATGTTTAAAACTTCATTCGAAATAACGTTATAATGGCGCACTTCCGGTACAGCTGGAAATACCACAGTTTCATAATATTTTCATTAAATATAGTATTTCTTTGATTTGTAGGAGAATGAAGGTACCAATAAGTTTCAAATCAACAACTTTACTATTTCATTAATTTCTTCTTAAAGCTTAAGTCGCGTTACCTAATTAAAAAAGTAGTTAAAATCAAACCTTTTAACAACTCCTCCATTACCTGTTCTTTTTTCTCGAAAACTCTATGGAAAACTCTTGAACTTCCAAATAAATTCATTTCACACAAACCGAATAAATGTACAATTCACGTACACGACATATTTTAACCAAACAATCACGATTTACACGAAAACAGTCATTACGAACCGAACACATAATGTTCCCAGTGTATATATGCACGTTCTAAAAATAATTTTCTTCTTACAGCGCCGGGCCACTTTGGCTTTTATACATACATTAGTTTAACATTCATAGTCCATCGAAACAAATAAATTCATACCCGTCACGTATTTCCGAACACTCACCGTCTCATCTGCGAAAGTCGACCGCGTCTATACCGTTGTTCTTATAAGAAAGGCGGAAAATTAAAACGTTTATGTGGAAAACAACCATGCAAGATCGTATGGTATGTTGCGCACTCTGTTGGTATTTAGCCGAAACAATGTGCCATCTAATAGTGAATAGCGCAAGCAGCAGATGTCAAATAAATATATGTAGTTCGTTATATTATATCTGTAGTATATATATATATATATAAC